AGGAGGTTAGATGAACACCTTGCCGGGGTCATTTGACCCCAGTATTTTTTCCTGCCATGGCAGGGGGTCGGACTTGATGATCTGCTCAGGTCCCTTCCGACCCTACCTACTATGAAACTATGGATATAAATGGAGTATACCAAACAGTATAAACAATCACGGCACAACTAATTCTGTGACTCCTCTTATAAGGATGTGGTCTAGGTAAGTCCCCCTTTTCAGTGCATTCCCATACCTGTGTTTAAAATGTTTATAGTATTAACATGGAAGAATTTTAGAATTCTAATCTTACTTTTTGTTTTTTTGTGCTTCCTTTTTGCACTTTCCTGTGTGTCAGTACTGGTTCAAGACAGTTTCACTTCTAGACAACTCAATTAAATACATGATTGGCATGACAAGCCATCTGTGAGTTGTCAAACTGTAAGAAAAAAGGCCAGAATCCTGTGGGATTTGTTGGAGGTAAATTTCAGCATTCAGAGGATGGAATTTCAGCATGTTCAGGAGCTTGTTGGTAGTGTTCTGTCATGGTGTCTCTCCTACACTAGTTAGAAAAGAAATAGCGTTAGGGCAGTGTTTTAATAAGCTGATCCTTTAGTCAGGTTTACTGACAAGGTTTCCAGAGCCTAATACGTAGTTCTAACTTCTGCTTCAAAATATCAGAAAATGTGAGTTCCAGCAATATTTTCTGTTGCTCTAATTGAGGAGTCCACTAATTTTAAGAGTGCTAAGTATTGTTCACTTTCTCTTTAAAACGAGTGTGGGCTGTATCTCATTTTGTGTGTTAGTGACCTATAGTCTTGAAGGCTGAGCATGCACAGAGGAGAGTTGTGTCCTGTCAAGTGAGATGGCCTAAAATAACATCTAGCGCAGAAGTATTGGTATTTAGCAGAGCAAGAGATTATTCGTATAGTTACCCTGCTGATAGTGAGCTTAGAAATCACAATGAGATTTGTTGAATTTCCTTCTAACATGAATCTAATTTCTATAAAATCCAAATATTCCACCAACAATTTCATCCTTTATTGGAATGAGACTCTTGCTTTGCAAACTGGATAAACACTGAATTTGCATCTGGGAACAAAGAATTTATTGACAGCTGTTGCCCTTTAACACAACTTGCAGTTTACAATTATTGAATTTATGCTTGGATTCCTGGATTTCATTAGTCGCAGGTTGGTGACATCTGCTTAATTTTAGTGCTGTGGTGTTTTACATATTTGAGTACTTTTTATTTAAGGGGCATCAGCAAGATAAAATTAACATATTCAGTGACTTGTTCATAGCTTAAGGAATTGTTAAAGCTGAAGAGTCTTAATTTTTAAATGCGTTGATTCTATTGTGGTGTATGTTACTTTTAATTCAGATTTGAATAGGGACATTAGGTTAGTCAGTTTCTTCTTGATTTTGCTGGAGAGGATTCCTGCACTAGACTAGTGATGCTGACTTCAAGTCACCTTAGCTGAGCTGTCTTTTGGAATATTTTAGGAATACTTCTAGGCCTCAGTCCTGCAAATAATTATGTACATGTGTAGCTGTACTTTGGGCAGTCCAGTTAACTTTAATAAAGCAACTCAAATGGGTAAAGTTATGCACATAAGTGAGAAGAATGGCCCAAATGACTAACTGGGGAACCTCTGAAAGCTTTATTTAAAAACAATTTTTAGAATGCCAGAAGGCATGCTCTCTTTTTAAACTTTGAATGTATTTATCATTCTTTCATTTATATCTACTCATAATAGTCTTTTTCTGCCCCAGGTTATAAATCATCTTTCTCAGGTTTATGCAGTTCATGCTCTGTGTTTTGTGATGTGCTTCTTTCAAGATCAATGGTGTGACAGATGTAACACCAAAATAAATTATAAGATTACATTATACAGATAAACACTGACTAGTCAAAAGTTTTGTAAAAACAAATGGACACCCACCTTCTACCCCTGGGTTAACCTCCATTTTCCTTAGGTGATAAAGACTCTGGAAAATAGGATTTACTGTATTCAGTTTCTTAGCATCATAAATGAAGATTCCAGAGTTGATATTCACAGCTCTACCCTTCTTGTTACCCGGTAATTAATGTCACAACCATATATCCCATGTTATCAGTCCTATCCTAATTCTGTTGTAAAGCTGCTTTTACGCTGTTTAAATGTATTGAACATAGAGGGACTTATCACTACCACAGTATTCCTTGAATTTCTGTACAACAGTTTGCTTTTTCCCTGGCCCATCTTTCCTTTGTTTAGTTTTAACAAGTAATTGTTTACTCATGCCTTATAAACCCCTCAAAATAATATCTTACATTTGTACAGCAAAATGCAAATGTTTTTGGTGATATCTTTTATTGAACCAGCTGTATACAAGTTTGTACAGTTAGTCTAAGTAAAGATATCACCCAAAAAACCTTGCTTCTTGCATATCTCTTGGCTAACCATGGCCACAAAACACTCCATCCCTACTTGTTCGTTTTGACATGAGGCGCTGATGAGTCCTTTATCAGCACACTTTGCATTCTGTGTAATCATACAATTCACTTTTCAAAGTCTCTTGATAACAACTAGCAAGTTTGTCTTGATCATGTCTTACTTCCTGTTTTGAATTCTTCTCTAGTGCTACTGAAAGCAGAGCGGAACTTGTCTTGCCCTCTCTCCCCCACTGTATCTTCCTTAATATCTTGCCATCAATTTAAACTTAACCATGATCTTGTCTATATCCAGTGTTGAATCAAAAGAATTTTAAAGCTGTTTAAGGCTGTTTGTAAATTAAATGAGGAAAAAAAAAACCCAAACAGTTCAGTTAAATGAGAGCAAGACAGGGTGTAGACACTTAATCAGTTTAAACCCCACTTATCTGTTTAGTGTAAGTTGACATCTCCACCTCTTATCTGTGGCCTGCCTGGGACTTGGTTTCCCCCAAGCTTAAGATAACTTGTATAAACCATGTTTAAATTGAATTTAAAAGGCAGCACTTCTTTTTTGTGTGATTTTAACTATATCTGTTTGAAGTAACACTTTTAGTTAATCCAATAACTCCTAGGGCAAATTAAATTCCTAACCCTTTCTTTTTCTAGCACATGCTGTCAATCCCACTTTTACTAGTGACTCAGGCCTTTTACTTCTAGTGTTTCTTCCAGTCCTCCATCTTCCTGGTCCTGGCACATCCAGGTTTGTGAAAATCCTGCTGCTGCTTCCTTCCAAAAACTTCCAGACCTAACATTTCAGTCCTCTCAAGCTCTCATTTGGGCCCTTAAGTAGCTCATGTATTAATGATTGTATCCATTTCCCGTCTGGCCTTTCCAACACTCATCAGTTGCAAAGAACATCACCTTGGCTCATTTCTGCTACCATAGATTTCATAGACATTAGGGCTGGAAGGGACCTCGGAAGATCACCGAGTCCAGCCCCCCACCCGAAGGGCAGGAAGTCAGCTGGGGTCATAAGATCCCAGCAAGATAAGCATCCAATTTACTCTTGAAGGTGTTCAATGTAGGTGCTTGAACCACCTCCAGTGGCAGGCTATTCCATACCTTGGGGGCTCGGACAGTAAAGAAATTCTTCCTTATGTCCAGCCTGAAACGGTCTTGCAGTAGTTTATAACTGTTCGACCACATCATCCCTTCGGGCGCTCTGGTGAACAAACGTTCCGCCAGATATTGGTGGTCGCCCCTGATAAACTTATAGGTGGCCATCAGATCACCCCTGAGCCTGCGCTTTTCCAAGCTAAAGAGCCCCAAGGCTCTCAGCCTGTCATTGTAAGGTCTGTTTTCCTGACCTCTGATCATGCACGTGGCTCTTCTCCGCACTCTCTCAAGTTTCTCCACATCCTTTTTGAATCGTGGGGCCCAAAACTGGACGCAGTTCTCCAACTGTGGCCTCACCAAGGCCAAGTACAAGGGGAGAATGACATCCTGGGATTTGTTTGAGAAGCACCTATGGATGCAAGCCAGCGTTTTGGTCGCTTTACTAGCCACAGCATCGCATTGTAAGCTCATGTTCAACCCCTGTTTGAATCCTTCCACTTCCTTTCTGTTTCCATTGCATCAGGTGCAATTTTTAAATCACTCCTTTCCTCTGCCAGTGATACAAAGCTTTGATGAATATTTGACAACTTCTACCAAAAATGTCTGCCTGCTTTCATTAACCCTACTTTTCATTCATAGATAGTATTTTCTAAATTACCAGTTATCAGTAAGATTTTTTTTTCCAAATCTCTACTAAAATCCTACTTGTGCCATGAAATGTGAGGGTTATTTGCTCAACCAGGGGTGACCAAGTGGCCAGTATTGAGTGATAGCTGAATATATTCATTTATGAGTGTGAAAAATCTGCAAATGGTTTGCAGCAATAGCTGTCTAGTAGGAATAGTAAGGCAAGAAATCTAGTTGGTTTTAAGGAACTGTTAAGTGTATTACAGGAATTATGTGATATAGTTTCCTGTGATAGCAGGGTAGGAATTTGCTCTTTCCCGGCATTTCTTTGGAACTCATCACAGCAGTATCTGAGAACTGCTTAGTTTTAGCCTTACAGTGGCTCTGATATGAGGAAGACAGGGGGTCCTATTTACAAATGAGCAACTGAGGCTATGGAGTAAGTGGTTTTCTTCAAGGTCTTAAGTGTGTGGCAGGCTGAAATAAAACCCACATCTCCTGAACCCCAATATAGTGCCTTACATATGAGACCCATTCTTCCTCCAACATCTTGAGGTCTGTGAAGGTTGTGATTTGCCCAAGTTCATGCCACAAACAAGTTGGAAAACCAGGAGTAGCATTTTACCATTGAACTTGTTTGCCTCCATGTTATAACAACATGTGTAACTCTTTTCCAGACCCTTGTTGGGCATCAATAAACCGTGGGATTTTGATTTGTGATGAGTGCTGTAGTGTGCATCGGAGCCTGGGGCGTCATATCTCACAAGTGAGGCATCTCAAACACACACCATGGCCTCCAACGTTGCTGCAGGTAAAGGATGAGGCTTGATATTGTAGAGAATTCTGTAATAACTACACTTTCTTGGGAGGATGGTTGCTCCCTTAAGCTATTTTTTTAAAAAGATGCTTGGTTTCTGTTATCTTTCTGTAGTGCAGGGGTGTCAGACAAGGCTTGTGGGTTGATTCCAGCCTGCAGAACTGTTCCAGCAGGCTACAGAATTGCACACCTCAGCTCTGCACTGTTGTGAATCCCTGGCAATGTTGCCAGCCACAGGCATGGGGCTGCCCAGAGCCACATTCAAGCACCAGTGCTGAACTAGCCCATTGCAAGTGCCTGGGGTGTGCAGTAGCATGGAGTTGAGAGTGTGCAGCAGCTCAGAGCTTCAGCTGGGCAGCTGCATGGAGCCAGGGATGTACAGTGGTATGGAGCTGCCTTTGGCCAGTTTTCATGTCTCCTCAAGCCCCTGGCTCAGCACTGCCCAGATGCAGCTGCCTGCAGTCCCATGGTCCTGGATCCACACTGCCACAGACCAGACCCATGCTGCTACCTGAACGCAGCCTCATGATCTGGCCCTGGAGGGGGCCCTGCAGTTAGGATTTGGTTCCAGGCCCAGAGTGAGTTTGACACCCCATGTAGTATATCACTAAAGTAAATGTTACCTGTGAAATTCTTGACTTGCTTCTAGGATAAATGGAAAGTCTGGAGCACAGTTAAAATTCTTTTGGTTTAGTGAGTAGCTTTCAAGCCATCTTAGATTACTGCAGGTGTTTCAGTGCAAGCTGTCAACATGCAGCAACCCTTCCTCTTCCCCAAAGCTACTGTTGGCAAGAGTGTAAATCTTTACTACTGTGGGGGGAGGATCTAATTCTAGGCTTTCTGTTTTCATTTCTGCTTTCTCACTGCTTCTGTCTTACATATCCTAAAAGATCCTTTTCCAGCGCTTTAACAGATGCAGCTTTGTACTTTTAGTTTAAACTTACCTTGACCCTAACCCCACCCATACACTATTAATCCAGACAGTTTGGCTGTGGTCTGTAGCCTGATTACCAGTTGGTTAAATATGTGGAATTTACCACTTTTCTACAGCGTGCATATTGTAGCGGTTCGGAGTCTGAAGATCAGGAATTCTGTGGTCTGTTTTTTAAATTAAAAATGTTGTTTCTGCCAAAATAAAACATTTTGGAAAAATGTGTTGATTTCAGCAATTTTGTCTGGAGAAAATCTAAGTTCATATGCACAGCCTGTGATCTCTGGCCTTTGAAGGAAAAGCTTCTTACTTGTGAATGCAAAGGAGGCACTCCTGACATTCCCTTTAGTCAAAGATGTTAGCACAGAACTGGACAAATCTGTTACTCTTCTGGTCTGTTCATGTGATCTTGTTCATCTTTTTTTCCCCTAAAGAATGCCAAGAGTTTTTCAATTAATAGGTTTAAAAATAAGATATTGCTGATAGCATGCCTGCACTGGAAGGGTACTGGCAAAGTACTGGGAAATTTGTGCAGTCCTGGTTATTCTATCTGTGCAAGTATCAGTAAAAATACTTAATGCCTGTTGTACGTGTTTTGAATTTCAGATGGCTGAAACACTGTATAATAATGGTGCTAACTCCATATGGGAACATTCTTTGCTAGACCCAGCATCTGTTATGAGTGGAAGGCGCAAAGCTAACCCACAGGATAAAGTCCAGTAAGTAGAATATTTTTATAAAATTCTCTTTATAGTTGCAGGAGATGTTTTGGAAAAATGCAGTTATTTTTGACCAACTGTGACAAAGGCAGCAACAGGGGCAAGTGAAGCTGATCTTGTTTCAGTTTTTAAATATAGTTGAAAGTGTTGTTATATGAACAGGTTTGAAGAAGTTCCGTCTTCTCTTAATCATTGATCTTTAAACCTTGATGATCAAATAATCAATTTTGCTGTGAGCAATGTGGTTTAAACATATTTAATTCTAAAGCATCTTTCAAAGCTTTTGCAACCTAAACCTTGAAGAGAAAGTTCACATATGAGTGAAGAATCTTTTCATTCTTACGCATGTCTTGACAGTATCCATCTGTCATAAGTTGAGTAGTGCCTTTAAAAAACAAACAAACCATATTTTGTGCCCCAGCCATCTTTTGCTCTCCTTTTATCAATCAGCATTTATAGAATGTCAGCTACGTAATTTAAAAAGTAGAAGGTTTTTTTTAAATATAATTTTGTATATTAGTTTAACAGTTTCATCTGAATGGTATTAAGCACTTACAGCTCAGAATATAATCAGATGTTCAGGGTGTTTTGGGACAGGTGCTAAGTTATAACTGAAAATAATGTTACCTTATTTTTTAGAACTGATCTCCATGCCCTTTAAGATTTTAGAACTGAGAGGTCATCCACTCACGTCTGCATTTTATTCGTAAACTAGAAAAGGAAAAATCTGATTTCCTCCTTTTGTTTTTTTTAGCTCCCAGCTGATTTTCTAAACTTTAAATGGAACAGGAACTGCTTGAAAAACTGAAATGAGGAAAAAGTTTCTGCATCCGCATAAGATACTATTGTTGTCAAAGCTGGTTTACTACTTCAGCAAACTTGTTCCCAGTGTTTTAGCCAGGAATTTCCACTACTGTGGTGGTCTGAGCATTAGAACTTCAGCAGTTTTAAAATAGGTTGCCATAATTATTAAATTTTATTTTAAATGTACTTATTTTAAACATTCATTTTAAAGGGAAAAAGGCTTTTAAATAGCTGCTTTTTTTTAATTGCTAATTTTATCACTTTGGCTTTTGAAGAAAAAAACATTTTTCGTATTTTTGGAGTTTTTTTGTTGAGGGTATTTAATGAGTCACTTTCCAATCAGCTATAATTATTGTGAAAGTTACTCTTAGTACCACTACCCGTCAGTAAAGTGATAAATTTGAATTGAATTCTGTATTGCATGAAAATATTTTCTAATACCTTTTTTCAGTTCCTTGTTACATGTAAGGGTGGGGAAAAAAGGATATTTTTTTTTCTTACTCCTGACAAATAAATGTCTATGTAATTCTACAATGGATACATTTTGCAAGTCCTTTGCTTTAATTTCTTTTACAGTCCCAACAAAGCAGAATTCATTAAAGCTAAATATCAAATGCTAGCATTTGTTCATCGCTTGCCATGCCGGGATGATGACAGCGTTACTGCCAAAGACCTTAGTAAGGTAAGTGGGTTTCCTTATAGTTTGTGGACAGGAACCAAATTGCATCATATGCTTTGTGTTGTGTTGCAAAGTACTGTAAGACTAAAATCTGAATAATATTAAGTTATTTTGTGACCATCTGAAAGATAATTGGTGCCCCACAAGAGAGTACTCTGCACCTAAAAAAAAAGTCACTTTTCAGCAATTTTTGTTATGTTAATGAGAGTTATAAATAGGTATTAAAAATACAGACATAGTAGGATAACTGAATCACATTATTAGACACTGTTGGAAAGTAAAGCACTTGCAAATAGTGGTGATGGATGGATGTGTGTCTGGGTATTTATATGCCTAATAAGGGGTCAGTGGTTTTTGTTTTTTTGGGTTTTTTTTTTTAATCTCTACCTTCTCCTTTATATAGACTTTTAATTAGCATCCTCCTTCTGTTTTTCAGCAACTCCATTCCAGTGTGAGGACAGGGAATCTGGAGACATGTTTGAGATTACTCTCTTTAGGAGCCCAGGCCAACTTTTTTCACCCTGTATGAAAACTTTTTCATTACCTTGATATTAAACCGGTCCTTAGTCTGTCAATATTTATATTTGGTTCAGCTGATACACATTTATTTCACTCTTCTGCTCACAGCTGCTTATTAAATGTAACCATGTGCTTTTGTTAATGGCTTTTAGGAAAAAGGAAACACCCCACTTCATGTTGCTGCCAAAGCAGGACAGATTTTACAGGCAGAGTTGTTAGCAGTCTATGGTGCTGACCCTGGCACACAAGACTCCAATGGAAAAACTCCAGTAGACTATGCAAGGTATGCAAGGCTTTGACTTCTGTCATTATATACTTTCATGTATTAACTGTTTACAAAATCATAACTAAGCTCCAATGCCAGGGTCTTTGGGGTACCCTGATCTAGGATTTCATCAAATGAGTGTCCTTCCCAGCTTAGAGCAAATACACACAAACACAGTTTTCTCTAGACAGTGATGTTCAGGAAAGCTCCACCTTAAAATGCAGCAGTATGGCGAACATCTAAATAGGGTATTTAGGACTTTACATGTGTTGTGAGTATGAAATTGTAACCAAGGTAAGTCTTTATGCTGTACAATTACAAAATTTAGGAGTATAGTCACTATGCTTGAACTTCTAGAACCTACTCTATGAGCATGGGGACTTTAGAAATCACATGGGGAATCGAGCACACTACAGTAGAGCTGTTGCCACTGCTGTAGTTCAGATTTGATACAGGATAAATTCAGTACCAGCTCAAAAACGGCAAAGAAAATTCTAAGGGGGTTTTGGGGCTTGTTTTTTTAAGATAAATTATGAATCTGCTATTTTCATAAACGATAAGCAAGACTATTCCAAAATTGTCCTTAGACTTTCTTGATGTGTTCAGAAAAAGTTCACCATAACCATTGCCTCTTAGTTTTTACTTTTCAAAATTTGCCCAGCATCTTTTATGTAAGGTCTCAAATTGAAAATGAATTGGGGGTCTGTTGATTTAATATCTTTCTGAGCAGTTTTCAAACCATTGCATTTTGCAGCTAGGAATTGCTCCTTTCTGTTTTTTGCTTAACAGGCAAGGTGGGCATCATGATCTGGCAGAGCGCCTTGTAGAAATACAGTATGAACTCACTGACAGACTTGCATTCTATCTTTGTGGAAGAAAACCAGGTAAGTTAAATTACACTGAAACTAGTGCTTTTCAAATGTAGTTAACTATACAAACTGAAAGTATAACACTTACAGATGCCATTAACATTACTCTTATCAGCATTTTTGGTGATCTAAAATCTTTTGCTCAACATGCATCTATAGCAGTAAAAGAACAGGGCTGAGAAGAACATGGGAAAACATGCCTTGCTATAAATAAACAGTGTGGCCTCATGGAAAGTAGTCAGCAGTTCTAGTTGTCCATCTCCAAATGGATATTGCAGATCAGGGTGACAAGTTGTTAGGAGTGGGTTACTGATAAGTATAACAGAACTATACATTGTTTCCAGTAGTGCTAACATTGTGCAAGGAATATCCTGTTTCAAGTTAAACTGATCTATATTTATTGGGAATTAAGAGACTTAAGGAGGTTGCGTCCCACATCTGCCTAAAGCAAGCGTTCTCTTTGCCACTGTTTGTTGCAGAGCTAAGGTTTTGACTTTAAGTGTCTAACAACACTGAAAACTAGGCCTGTAGCCGTGTGTCACACACTTCCTAAGGCTAACATTTAGCCTTCTTTCCAATTTCAGATCACAAAAATGGACAACATTTTATTATACCTCAAATGGCAGACAGGTAAGACAGTGGTTAAGTACTACATGTTAAAATAAACATCAAAATAACTGCTACTTTACTTTAGAATTTCCTATTGAAATGACTTTTCATTGTATTTCTGTGACATTTTCTCCTTTTTGACACGCTTGCTCATCTTACAAGCTTTTCTGCAGTTGAACATTAAAATGCCATGAGGAAGGCTAGAGAACTTACTGTTGACAGATTTCAGTTTCTTTTACACTTTTAATTTAGATAAGTGAAAGAATATACAGAGAAATTGCCAAAAAGCAAATCTATTGATCAGTAATCATTCTAAATTTCTTGATATGCAAATATGACTAACATCTTCAGGAAAATATTGCATTTTTGCTCTCCTAATTGTCCTAGTATTAGCACTTAGAACATATGAATTGTAAAGCCATATTTATTTAAAATAAATATTTAATTGTTAACAAAACCATAAGTCCATGTATTTCTTCCTTCATTGCTGTACAATTGGAAACAAGACGACTGTAAGTAAACTGTTGTAGATTTCAGTTATTTTGTTAAATTCATTCTGTTTGCAATGATGCTAAGAAAACAAGTCAAAATCAGCTGGTATTCAGTTGAAGATACAGTTGATGTATGCAGTTAGTAAAATACTTTCTGACACTTTAAAATTTTTTAAAGGTTATGTGTAGCTCCTATCTAAGGTTTCTATGGTACTCAGATCATTTTAGGAAAGCAAAATAGGTATCATTTTGCCTCCTTTCATATAGAAGAACAGAGAGGTGATATGATTTGTTTAGAATTGCACATTGGGTCATACAGCATGCAGTAGAACTGTGGTGTTTCAGCTCTGCTAGAGTTAGGCCCTTATTCCCCTTTGTCCTGGTCTAAGGTAATTGCTTATAGAAACTTCCCCTGTGATCTGATGTGTTCAGACTGAAGCCTAAGTTGAGTCTTTGTCTCAGAAGAGCCCCTGCTGCAAGAACATTGCATCTATATTGAATGGAGGAGGAATTGCCCCTAGTGATATGAGTTCACAATTTGTCAACTTGCTGGGCCTTTGGTTTCCACTTTTTAGTTCTGCTTCTGTTCTAACCGCAAAAACTTGCAATTTGTGTCTCAACCTTGACTCAGGAAACTAATAGAGGAGATTGCTCCATGACTAGTCAATGACATGCTGTGGGTAACTTTGAGGTGTGAGGCCTTATTTCATCAACCTTTTGGCCAGCCTGATGTTACCTGACTCCATGACTAATCGAGTTAAATCATTCTTGTGTGTTGATTACAGCTGTTATTTAAGAACAGACATTTTGGGGCAGTTTTTATATCCCTTCAGAAACCATTTTATTGTCTTTTAATCCATTCTGCCTACTGAGATGTGCAATATATCCACTTGGATTCCTAATGACCTCTTTGATTCTGTTTATTCTGGAATGAAATATTTTTTCATCTCTGGCAGTTTAATCTTTGTTAGACTCTCAGAAGTATCAAAATGAGCTTTTCCTGGAGAAAATTTAGCAAACTATCAAATTGGTAAGAACATCATGAACAGCAGTGATGTAGATGTAGTGATCACTTTCTGTTTTCATAGCAGTCTAGATTTATCTGAATTGGCAAAAGCAGCTAAGAAGAAGCTTCAGTCTGTAAGTAAAGCTCCTGCTTAATCTGTGCTGTACTGCATGTGGTCAGCAGCCTATACTTCATCTCCAAAGTTGTTGTAGACTTTATAACAGACAAGCTGCCATTAGTTCCTGCAAGTACGGAAACCATTTCTGTGGTAACTAATGCACTTGAAAGAAGCAGTGGAAGACCCAAAAAGGCAGGGCACAGCCTAGAAGCCTAATATTAGATGGCTGAGAGAAGATGATGTTTTTTTTCTCCCTTGTTTGTTATTAGATACAGTTGTGATGTATGAGTATTGTTTCGGAGTCATGATCTTTATTATTTCATGACATTCAGTGTTCTATACAAACTCAAACCCAGGAAAGGTGTTGATCTTTTTTCAATTAAGTGTGATTTGTCCTACAGAAGGGTGGACAGGTGTAATTAAAAATATTACAGTTTTAGTTAGCAATATACATTTCTCCCATATGCTAAGTCCCCAGGTACCTCATATCAGTAATGAAATGCCTGAATAACATAACATTTTGATTTACGCCACAACTGATTTCTCATTAGTTCAGTCCTTCATAACACAAGTATCTCAAACCAGTTGCTTTAGGAATTCATTCTAAAATAAGTCACTACTTAAATCTCATTTAGGTTCACATCCCAGAAAGTATCTGGGTCTGTATCTTGGTCTTTGGATTTGGGTTCTAAATCTTAACCTTCCCGCAGTGAATGCTGAGAGGATCAGAATTTTTACAAGGTCCAAAAAAAGAATTACTCATTCTCCTTTTACATACACTAGTTGGTGTTGGAACAACCCTGATCCCTCTAGAGCTGGCATTTAGGATACTAGATATGCCTGGCTTTACAGACTTTTTAATAGCCAAAGAGTGTAGTGTCTCCTGGATTGCAAAGTAATATATTATCCTTTAAATAAAGGAGTGCACCTCTTGCTTTCTGTAAAAGAAGAAGGTTTTCTTTTTTGTTGTTTTTTTTTGGGGGGGGTTGTTTGGGGGTTTTTGGTTTTTTTGCTATCTTGCTCTTAAGTCATAATCACCTCCTTCTTTTGGGTTTTTTTAGCTAAGTAACCATCTATTTGAAGAACTTGCCATGGATGTGTATGATGAAGTTGACAGGCGGGAAACAGATGCAGGTGAATGACACTTTCTAGACTATCTGCAATAGTGTAAGTTTTGAAATGTCATGTTACACATGCGGGTTTATCAGGAAATGCTCGAGGGAGAGGGAAGAATTTTACTCTTAGTAGTTATTGACTGTTGTAAATTCTTGGCTTGTGCTACATGTAATGCCTTAAACTCTGTACTAGATTTTAAAATATCTTCTTCTCTTACCAAACATTTTCTTTGAGTTTGATTATGTTTGTTGTTGAGCCTGTTATCCTTTGACCCATTTGACAATGTTACATGGAGTGAGGAGGGTATTCTAAAACTGGGCCTGTCTGGTTTTTCTCTAAAGTTTGGCTTGCTACTCAGAACCACAGCACGTTGGTGACTGAGAAAACAGTTGTCCCTTTTCTTCCTGTAAATCCCGAATATTCCTCAACAAGGAACCAGGTACGTAACTTTGTTAGCGTGTTTTCTAGAAGCATTTTGTTAACATAATCCAGATGCTCGAATTAGTGTCTTTTGCAAAGCAGCGGTAATTGGCTAGCTAAAAAAATAAAAACAATAAAATGAATTAAATCGAGCTGTGGGGAATGGAGGTATTTGTAATGCAATATAAACTCACAAATCCGGTGTGCTCAGGACCAAGCACCTGCTGGAAATTTGAAAATGCTGGATTTTTTTAAACTGGCGCAGCAGCCGGTTGCGAAGAGGGGAGAAAGGGACAGTGGTGGCTGGTTCCGGGACAGCAGCTGTACGTGGAGCGGTGGTGTGGGGTGGTGACTGGCAGCAACAACCGCCACATACAAGCTTCCCCCTCCGTGTCTGGGAGGGCATGGCGGAGCAGTGGCCAGTCCCGGAGCGGCGGGGGAAGTGCCGGATTTTTGATAATTCCAGATTTTTGGTATCTGGATTTATGAGGTGATAGTGTAGTAGTATTCTGAAGTGCAAAGTGTGTGCATGTGCTTTAAAAAAAAAAAAGTACAGTACATTTCACACAAGTGTAATTAAGATGCTGATGTCACTGTTTATAACTAATGTACACCAGTATTGCTCTTATCTGGGTATTTTTGCATACATCTTAATTAGAGCAAACATTTACAGCAAACCCAGAGAGCAAAAATGATGCTCTTTTAAGGAGGCTTATCGCTGTATTTGTTTGAGTACATGGCATTATGAACATACATGTCTTTGTTGTTGCCTGGGAATAATGTTGTTGTTGTGGTTGTTATGACTACTTAGATAATGTCCACCCATGATATTATGTAAACAGCATTTTGCATCATTCTGTAATTTAGGGAAGACAGAAACTGGCCCGGTTTAATGCCCATGAATTTGCTACGCTAGTCATAGATATTTTAAGTGATGCTAAACGAAGACAACAAGGAAATTCTGTCACGGGTTCTAAAGGTAAGTATTGTTTTGACAGTCTAATTTTTATATGCAAATCAGTATTTCAGCAGTTCCACTGTACTTAGGATGCAGTGCTCTAGGACTTGCTGCTAATTTGTTGGCAAATACATTCTGTACTATTTGAACATATCTTAAGTTTCAGCCACTTAAATCAGAAATCATCCAAGAAGCTCAGATATGTAGTTCTAGTTTTAGAGAACTGCAACAACAACTAAATACAGCACTTTCCTTTCTAAAGAGATACTAAAGAATCATGTTTCACTATGCAGCTTCCCTGTATTAACTGAATGGTGCTACGCATATAACAGCAATTGCATTTTGTTTTGTACCTTTTTTCGACAGCATTCACCCTGTCAGTTGTATTAAACTGGTAATACTTTATTGTAATTAGTTGGTTGAGTTTGCCTACACATTTAAAGGAAGAGAAGACTAAAATTAAGGTCTTCTGAGTTAATCTTTTACATGTTTGTGCCTGAAAGCTTGCAAAGAACAATTTATCCAACTATGTAGTTGGTCTAATAAAAGATATCACATCTACCCAAAGAATCTTGTCTATATTTTAGGTAGAATGGTAAACCAGCCACACTAGATGGCACTAAATTAAGATTTTTCCTTTTTTGTTAAGACTACTCAAATGGCTTTCTAATATTGTTTCTTTCCATCTAGTTGAAATGCTCTTTTTTTTTGTTGTTAAACTGAGCCGTCCCCCCAACCCCTGCATACAAATCCTAAAATATCCTGTTTTGATTTATAGAGAATGTGGAACTGATATTGAAAGCTATCAACAGCCGTCATAATAGTGAGAACCAGGATATTGACCAGCCTGATTATGACAGTGTTGCATCAGATGAAGATACAGATCTGGAAACACATACAGCTAAAGCAAACAGGCAGAAGGTAGGTTTTACTTATGATGTAGGCTCCAAAGTCCCATTCTTTCAAATATTTATGCACATACTTAGTTTTTATTCATACGCGTAGTCCATTGAAGTCAATGGAACAATTCATCTGAATGAAATTTAGCGCGTGTAAGTGTTCGTAGGATTAAATCCTTAATGACCTATTTCAACTTCATTTCAGTTCTGTTTGTCAGTCTGCAAAATCTTTAAGTACTGAGATATTATGACTTAAAATATCTTAAATGTCCAAAATTATAAAAATGAGCAAAGTTTTCATTCTTTGGAAGCAAACCTAAACCACAAATGGAAAAGTGCTACACTAGTTTTATCAGTCATATCAAAGTACTTCGCATGTATTCTATTTCACTGCCTCTCTGAGGGGTAACAGCACAGATGGGGTAATTGGGGGCTGAGTAGTGAACTAGTTCCTGAGATCAGTTCATTCAGACAGAAAGCAAGCAGCAGTACCCAGAAATCCTGATGCCACCTGTTCCAATCGTATTCCCTTTATACAAGTTGACATGAATAATAAGCATTTATATTAAATGCTGTGTTCATTGCATGCTTCTTTAAAAAGGCTTTATTCAATATCTAGAGGCTAATTTTTCACATGTATAACACACACGCATGTTCAGTGGTTTTCAAATATCCTAAAGTCACATAACCATTTCGTATAACTACTTCTACCATAGAACCCCTACTCATATCCACAGAGCCAGGTGACCTGGCCAGGCAAAAGTGATGCACTGCCTCCTGACCTGCTCCACTGTTACTCTCAATCTCTTTGCAAGACCTATTGCAGAACCCCACGGTTCCAGAGAACACAATTTGAAAACCACTGCTGTGTAAAATAATGATACCTGGAACTTTATTAGTTTTCTCTGATTCATTAGCAATAGATGTTAGACACCTGTCAAAACTTTTATCATATTGCTTTTTTATAACGGAGTGTTCTTCAGTATTATGGTAGGTTTTTTTGTATTTTTTTTTTTTTGTTT